ATTACATGGTTTGAAAAATAGCAGTAAAAAAAAAAAAAATACAATAATATAATGTAAAAAATTCAAAACATTTATAAATATATTATAAAAAAAAATTGATAAAAAATTTCTAAAAAATTGATAGTCATTCGCCTAATGTGCAAAAATATATATTTTAATAAATACAGTCAAAAAATTGTTTGTTATAAAAATTATTTACATTTCATGATTATAAATAACATGATCAATCATATAATACAAAAAATATCTTATAATAGTGGTATAGAAAAAATATATATAATAACAATAAACAAAATCGAAAAAAGCCTATTATAACAATTGTCATAATTATGTGCATTTAATTTATAAAAAAAAAAAAAAAAAAAGTGGTTAAATGAATTCGTTAAGACCATGAAAATTGTTTGTTTTATTTTCAATTGGACTAACGTTTCATAAACATTACATCCAATATCTCTTGAACAACAAATAAAATGCAATATGTTTGAGTTGTTTATTATTTTTTCGGAGAGAATATGTATAAATATTGCATATGAAATTTGTTCGATTTCTACAATTTTTACACTTATAAAACCTACAGATAAATAAAGAGTAAAGAACTATATTATACCACAGAATAATTTCGTCCTTTTATATATGTAGTTTATAATTTTATAAATTTATTTATTTTGTACTCTAAATCACCAAAGTTAGTTATTTAAGCAATTCCTTGTATAGTAATTAATAATATTATGATTTATTGTCATATACAATACCATGTCAATACTACTCACTGCGTCACTACGAATTGGAATACAATTTAGATAGCATTATTGTACAAATTATATATAAAAATGAATGAAAAATGTATTCCTATAGTTTTTTTGTTAATAAACCGTCATCTCTTAAATTCTTCAACAGCGTTTTCTTTGATTGTTAGAACGTTTCCAATTAGCCGGTCTTGAATAAGGAAATTAATAAATCTACTTGATACTATTTACTTCAACGACCAATATGTTTGTTTAGCTTCTATTTCTTTAATAATTGAATAAAATAGTTCACTTTGAGTGTGAAGAAATTGAAACATAAACAAAGGTAAAAGACGGTTTTAAAATATCAGGACATTTGTTATCAGTAGGGCTAGGATTTATATGTATTTATGCTACCAAAATACGTACATAAATATGTGTTAAAACACTCAAAATATGTATTTTACTAATATGATTTATTTATTAATATTTAATTATTTAATATATTCATATGAGTTACTAATGAAACAAATTATATTTTAAATAGTAAAATTATTAAGAAAATGAAAAAAATATAAAAAAAAAAAATTGAAAAAAATTAATTATCTTGATTATATTTATGATCACACGATTTTTTTTAAATTTTCAAATTCATAAGACCTTCGATTTGGTCGTAAAACTGCTTTATAACAACTAAATAATCCTTCGACGTCTACTAATGTTTTGACAGTATTGCATTTTGACTATGTCTGAAAAAGTAAGTTCTACATTCAATGAAAATTCAGGAGAACGTCCATTGCAGAGAATATTTTTAATAGCTATTAATAAATCATAAATGAACAAATTTTCGAAATGTGTAGGAAAAAATGGAATTATTGAGAAATATGTAAAAACATGTACTTATGGCAAAATATGTAAAAATATGTAAAATAAAATATAGTTCATTTTATTGGATATCCATTAAAATGAATTTATCACTTATCTAAATTTATTTTTCAAGTCACAGTAAAAAAAAAGTATTTACATGTAAATCCGACCCCTAGTTATCAGAAAGAAAATATATGACTTTAATATTTTATTCACTGAAACTGTTTTGATTCTACACCTACCTACATAATAAATAAAAGGACGATAAAACAAAATTCAAGACGTTTTTAATATATTTTAATCATTTCACAAGACATCGAACACTTGATGAAAAAACGAGATGTCTAAAAACCCTAGATAAATTGAAAAGGGTAGGTGGGTCAATCAAATTATTCGAACTGCCTATCTCAAATGCAATTGGCGCCACTGACGTCATCTGAGTCCGGAGTCGGCAGGATATGAAGTCTGTCCGTAATTTCTATTTTAGGTAATACTGCTGGGGCGGACTGGGTAGGCACCGGCCCAGTGGGCAAATTTTGGAAAGCAGTCCATAACATAAAAAATAGCTCTCCCTGCATTTGAAAAATGTCCTATACACGTTATAAAAATGTACCTTTATATTAATAAAAACGTATGTCATAAAAAATAGTATATTCTATTAGCTAAAAAAAAAATTCAATTATGATGATTAGATTTATAGTTAGACATATAATCTAATTACAGTGTATTTTAGTGAGCTTTGAAATTAAAATTTTAATGAATTGATGATTAATAAATCTTATGATTGGGAAATAAATTATAGAAAGTAAAAAAAAAAAAAAAAATAAGGAATATTTTAACATGATTTTAAACTAATTTAATTGTATTTGTATTTAAAATATATAATTAATTAATAGTAAGTACAGAATAATTAAAAACTAATAATTACTGTCATAAACTCATAAAAATAACTACACACTGCACAGAACTAAGTACTCAGCTACACAAGATAATTTACATTTACTAAATCTATAGGCCAATTATTTAATAATTATTGCTTATCGAGTCACGAATGAGTGTCATAATATTATAAAAATACATTGGCGGTGTTTTTGACCATCTTTTAGGAAAACCCGTAATTATTGTTTTTAAATTATATAACATGAACAACTACAAATTACCACGAGTTTGTCATTACGGTGTATTTACAAAATGTTGGAGGCCGTCGAATGAAGTAAAGGCCCGCGTTATTTAAGTGACATCTACAAACTTTATTGATTTGTAAATCTACACATATATATATATCTACATATATAATATTGTCATCATCTATAAGCCTAATGCTCTTGTCTAATAATTTTTCCGTAAACTGTACTAAATACCGCAATAAGCGTGCTGTTTATTTATCTTTCACCACTTCCATAATATATCCAATAATAAAAAATACCTACATAATAAATACACAGACCGGCCCAGTCCACCCCTGGGTAATAGTATTCTTATTTACTCTAAATATATTTTATGAAAACATCAAATAAATATGTATATCATTATTGTAAGTAGGACAGGTAGGCACTTAATTAACCAAACAATATTTTAGTATTAAATAGTTTATCATAATTTTTATAATTATATAATTTTGTTTACTATCTAATACTAAAAAAAATTTATATTTAAAGTTTTATAGGATAATCTATGAGATCTTATATTTCTAATAAAATCCAACACACACAAGTCATATCTATTATTATTTTTACGTTTCTAACGAGCAGCGTAGGTATTTAGGAAGTTATAATACTGGTTCTAACTATTTCATTTCAAATAATTACTTCAATAAATACTGAAAGTTAAATGATTTATGTACATAATAACATTCATAATATAATATCGTATCCGTTATCAGAATAATAATACACGGTGTCAGCTTTTCGGTTGTCGAGTTGTTAGACATAGGTTCACTACCTCTATTAATTATTCATCAATTCATCACTGAAATCAAATTGAACACAATATTAATTTTTGTTACCGAACGAACTGAACCAGCAAAGCGATCTTATCGATTATATTTATTTTTACTTAGTAGACAAAGATGAAAGACCGATTTTATCAGGATTTTCCACCTACCCGTGGGCAACAAAATAAAAAATAAAAAATAGTTTTAAAAACAATTTTTATAATAATTACTTATGTATTAATGAATAAGAATTGAAAATTTAAATTTTCCTCTAGGTTTATAATTTTGAGAATTTTTTAATCTTATTACCATAATTGATATTGGAGGTTATCAATTTTGTTGTTTAAAAACAAACTTATGAGTTACATTTATTGCGTTTCTAAATGTTCTAATTTACATGACTAATTTTAGTACCAAATCATAAAACATTAAATTAACTATAGCAAATGAGTTAATTGAGATAGTTGAGTTATGAGAAAAAATATTTTACTATATATCAAGCGTATTAACACAAAGTTCTTCACCTCAATTAATTGTATTTTGTTTGTTTATACCTTCATCATTTAATTCTTGAATTAGGTATAGCATCTTTATCTTAAGAAAAATCAACATATTATTACTAAATTAGTTTCTTTACTTTTTATTGTCATGAATTCCTATTGTATAAGTAACCTAATTATTCACTTTTTTAAGTATTTTACATCTCTGTAATAGTCGAGCTGTCATAGTTGTAAACTAATAGCTAATAAAAATAAAAAAAAGTATTTTACATTTTCCTGTTCAAATCTTATATCCGTGTTTTTACGTCAGTAAGTGTGAGTGTAACATATAACTCATATAAGGTATTATTTATTTTGAGTGTGAATATAGCCAGAGAAATAATGTTTATGACAAGATAGAGCTAAAACACACAACTAAACAATTAAGTCTTGTGGATTAGTTAAATATACAAGAATATTAACTAACCATGTATTATGTATTCAGACAAATATTATCATGTAAACAAAATATATTTAAAATGTTCATACATTAAAAAAAAAATTCAAGTATAATATTTTTTTATTTCCAATTATGTACATGTATAAAAGATAACTTAGTTCAGATTTTATTTTAAAATATTTAGTATAAAATTAAAATAAATATATTTAATTAATAAAATCTAGTCTATATACATGAAAATTTTACATAACTGACTCCATTTGTTAAAATTAATGTATTTTAAATAATAATGGCTTTGATTTTTAAGTAACAACCAAAACCATGGTTATTTACATAAAATCTACAAGTGTTTATTTTTTTTATTTAAACAGGTGATTAAATAAAAAAAACTAATTCACTAAACATATTTCCAAAATAATTTAAAAAAAGACATTTTCATTATTTGTTAAAATAGTATTAACAATGATTAAGTTAAAAATTAAACCAATCAAAGTTAAGAAATGAAAATAAAAAAATGTTAAAGTTATCCTTAATATTGTAATTATACATATTTAATATCCCATTGGAATAATATTAACTTATTATTAGGTAAAATATATATCTAAAGTAGATATAAAGTATTGTTTACAATAACGAAACATTTCTTTGCTTCCTTCAATTTGAATCAGTCATACATAAAAGATTTTAAAAATCTTAAAATATAATGTCATACTGTTAATACAAATAAAATATAACAATGTATATTAATAATTGAGTTATTCAATATTGTTAAAAAATCTAAAAATAAAATTGGTATTGAAGGTTTACCATCAAAAGCATTCTATAATGTATACTATTTATCCATTTCTAAAGCAGCAAACTGCTCTTCGTCCATTTCAGTTACCATTAAATTACCATCAGGTAATTGCAACACAACTCTTCGTGGACCACCTATTTAAAAAAATAATTGTTTATAAGAAAAAAAAAAAATTAATTTCTAGACTAAAATGAAAAAAAAAAAACATGCCTGTAGGATTTGGCTCTCCGGCATCAACAATTTGTGCAACTAATTGATCTGATTCTTCTTGTATAACTTGAGGTTCTTGTGTAAAGTTTTCATTTGTTTGTATAACAACTTGACCTCCTTGTTCTGTTGCTGATACAGGTACATATTGACCGGTTTCATTATCTTTCATATACATATTTCCTGCATCATCAGTCACCAAATTTCCTAAGTCGAGCTAAAAAAATATATTCGTGAAATTATTATAGTATATAATCATGACAAATATTTAAATAAATATGATAATATAATAGATTGCTTCGAAGATCAGAGGATATTTATTTTTGTATGTATACACATACTTGATGTGGCATAAGTTGACCTACGGTATTGCCAAAATCATCCAATGCTAACATCCCTTCTTGATTTTGGTTGGTTTGCATCATACTATTACCATCTTCAGTAAGGTATACACACTGTTGGCCGTCTCCTTCATTTCCAGCTAATAACACTGTACCTCCACTAGCAGCTAACTGGGCAGCAGAAACCTAATAATATTTAAATATTTCAGAAAACCATGTTTAATTTTAACTGAATATTTGCACTAAATTGAATTGAATTATATTACTTTAAATTTAATATTTATACCTGATAGAGCATGCCATCATCTCCTGTTATAGTAATCATACTTTCAGTATCATCAGCAGACAATATTAATCGACCAGATTCATCTGTCAGTATAGCCTGTTGTCCAGGGAAGGGTTGAGAAATTTGTTGTTCATGTTGTTGTTGTTGTTGTTGTTGCTGATGTTGTTTTTGTTGTATTTTTCGAGCTGGAACGTTTAGAGAACTATGGGACTTAGTCATTCCAGAGCTCACATGTAGCGATTTATTACTAAAATGGATTGAAAAATATGTTCAGTTAATACCAACCAATTTATCTAATAGACAAAAGTCATGAATAATGATATACATATAAATAAGCATACCTATTATTATTGGGTCTTGAATTAGTTTTTTTCATACGTAAACCAGAGTTTGAAGCAGCTGGTATGTCTTTATAATTAACAAAACTTTGTCTGGTTTGATGATGTTGCATTTGAGGTGTACGATTTATGTTCACTTTTTCAGGTTCACCAATAGACATCATAGGATTTTGATTTCCTAAATGTCCAGTTCCAGGTTCCAACTAAAAAATAATAACAAATAAATAAATTATTTTTTTAATTAAATTAAAATAAATGCGTACTTTAATTATTGTTGGCAATGAAGAATTGTCATGTTGTCTACTCATTAAAGATGATTCATCAATAGTTATCATTGTTTTAGGGCTTGATGGTGGAGTAGGTTCTGGCGTTTTTTCGCCTTCAGCTTTCATTAATCTTTTTCCAGTTGTAGGACAAAGTGTTAATGGTCTATTTGGACTATTAGGTGGAATTGAAACGTCTGAAATGATTAATAAAATATAAATTTTGACTGTTAGTGTCATGACAAACTTTTGATGACAAACGTCATGATTATGCTTTACATAAAAGCCTATTTTTATATTGCGGCTGATAACCGCTGCTGTCGTGACCATAATGTTGCGTTTTCTAAAACTATTATTTACTAAAAATAAATAAGAATAATAACTATAATTTCTGAATCAAGATGTAAGTCATCAAAAATCTGTCAAAATGATAATGAAAAATTTTTTTAAAAAGAAAATCTAAATGTTAAGAACCTTCTGATGGGAAATGGTCCGACAGGCCGCCGTCATCAGTGTCGGATGCCGTGTCTTCCCAAAATTCTAACTGCTCTAGGGTGTTATAAGCGTAAGCACCTGGAAAATATTGGCCATGAACAGCAGCGATTAATTTCGCATACTTATAATTTGAGACTCCCACTATTTACAATAGCTTTTGTTTTTATGATATATTAATAGATTATATTGTTATCTAAAATAAATTAACATTATTTAATATTTAAGATGTTCAATAATAATAAACAAATGAATTATATACCTTATTAATTTAAATATTAAAAAATAATTAATTTAAATAATTTAGTACATATAACATAGACATTATTTAAAATATGGCCATAGGTACATGCATTAGGGTATAATTTATGGGCAAAATAAATCACATTGACAGGTCTAAGACCTTATTCATAATCCCTAAGGAATTATTTTAAGGAAGACCTACAATTTATTTTTAATTTTTATAACTAAAAAAAAAACATTTAGTTAGATATAATAACTGTCCCAGGTAGCCATAAAATTAAATAATATAGTAAATAATTAAAATCCAAAAATAAAAATTAGCAATTCAAAAATTATAGTACAGTACATAAAATATTTGATATACAACAAATAAAAACAAAAGCAGTCATTATTAATTTTCTTTTTTTTATTTGATAACCAAATCAGTAAATTATAAATAATGACAGTTTTATTTATAGGAAAATAATTATGTCAAATAAAATTAAAAAACAATAAATACCTTGTTGGACTACTCTGTTATTAAGAGTACGCCTAGGAACAAATGTCATATTACTATGATGAGGTTTCATCCCTGGAGAACCTTGGTGTTTCTAGGAAAAAAAATATGCATAGACATATAAATATTTAATATAATCAGGTAAAATGATAAATTTAACAGTATCTAGTATTATTTTTTTTTATCTAGTATTATATCAGTATCAATATCTTCTATACCTGAAGTAATGATTTTTCAATCTCTGGATTAGCAGCAGCAACTTTGTGTAAAAATGGTCTAGGCTTTACGGCGGCTTGGATTTTTGTAGTTGGAACAAACGGTCTAAATAATGTACAATATAATTTTAGTTTTTGATAGTAAATAGTAATTATTGAAAATAATTCACATACTTCTTAGCATAGGATTTCATTAAAGGAGATGACTGGTGTACAGTCTCTCTAGCTTTGGATAGGTCAAGAGTTTTTTTTGGAGGTTGTAGAGCTTGAGCTCCTTCAGCATAAACTACTTTGCCTTTTTTAGGATCATCCCTATTCTTCATCATCATCATCATAGTTTGAGTTTTGTCACTTACATTTAATCTAGTAAATCCTTCATTGTTAGAATATATATAAATGCCTGATTGTGGAACTTGATTAGTTTCTAATTTCATTAAACTCTTCACTGATGCTAAAGTTACCTAAAAATAATAAAATAATACATTTATAACAACTGAGAATTAAACTTAAAGTATTAAATAAATACATTACTTGAGTTAAATGAGGTGAAATTTGTAAGAAACCTACATCAGAATTCCTATGAAAATTATTAAAATGAGCTAGATGTGTTTTAATTTTTTTAACCCTATCTTCTCGTTTTGACACAGGAAATACTGATGTTCTTGTGATACTTCTTGAGACATTATACTTTATGCGCTCTTCCATTGTTAGTTGACCTAAAAATAATGTTAAAGTGAGTATATTATTTCTTAATAAGTAACAAATAATGTGTATACAATTGATAGATTTAGGTAAATATATATATATATATAAAGAAACATAAAAATAGTAGTATATAGTACATGTATAATAAATATTAATAAATTTAACTAACTTCTCATAGTAACTTTTCCATAAATTTGGTTAGGTTCTTCATTTTCACTAACTGATGCATTAGATTTATGCAATGATGGATCATCCCATTCTTCATCCTCAGAATCAGGATGAAAATATTTCTTCTTCAACACCGGAGTATCTTCGTCTTCTTCATCTTCTTCTAACATAATGTAATCACGTTTTAGAATGTTAGGTTGAGTAGATTTACTATCATTAACTTCTTCAGTGGCTTTCATTGTACCACACCAATATTTAACTTGATCCAATGCTTTTTGTTTACTGCTACGAACTGGTCTCCTATAACAAGATAATCAAATTTAATAAAAATAGTAAAAGAAAAGTCAAATCATTATTTTTCAAAAACCTAGAAACTAAAAAAACAATTTTAAACAAAATACTAATATATAGCTGATTCTTAATAAATGTAAACATTATTTAGTTTCAAGTATTTATAGTGAAATACTCGAAGTTTGAATAATAATTATAATAGCAGTTACAAAAACATATTCTGTTCATCATCAGGGTTTCAACAAGCTAACCAAATGATTAAATTTACAATAAAAAAAGAATATTGATTCCAATAATTGTAAACAATGAAAACAATTTAGATTATAATTATTTCAAACAGTTATTAACTTAAATATCTATTCAATTCCACAACTAATTAATTAATGAACAAGTATTAGGTGATATTAATCAATTTAATGGTTCACTCATATTAATGCATCAATCATAGACAACTATATTATGTTTATAAAGCTATTAACTCACAATAGATTAATTGTTTAGATTGATTTTACAACCCTTCATAAGTGAATTAAATAAAACTATTTATCTTACCCTGCTATTCCAATTTGTTCATTTTGTGCTTGTGGAGATACTTTAGGTTTAACAATACCTATATTTTGGATCTGTTCAATCTTTCGTGGGCGTCCAGGTCTCTTTCCTGAGGAAGAATTGGAACCATTTTTAACTAAGGAATCCTCATATTGTTTTATAAGATGGGTACAAGCACTCATATTATCTGCTGGCTCCCAAGTATTTTGCTCAGGAGGATAACCTTCCCACTTTAATAAATATTCAAATTGTCTTTTTTTCTGATTAAAGCGGCGGGCAACAACTCTTTCAACTACAAACTCTTGGCCTGAAGGAAATTCTCCACTAGGTTTCATAACAGCTGCTGGTGGCTGTTCTTCTAAATTGCCATTTGATGGACTTGGATCAAGTTTAATAACCTAAGATTAAACAAAATTATTAAAACACTTAATAAATAAAATAAAGTTAACAAAAAATGTAAGCTTACCTTTTCAGGAATATTTTTAGCTAACTCATCATTAGCATTTATAGTTTTGCCAGCTTGTATCCAACAGTTTTTAACACTTTCAGGTAGAACACACCACATTTGATAAACTTTCCATGCTTCTTGATTTTCTGCTATAAAATAACCAAAAAGCAATTAAACTTATACTATTATATGATGAATGTATATACCTATTTGTTTAGTTTGAGAGTTTTTCCATAATAAAAATCCAAGAATTTGGGGTTTGTTATCCTATAATAAAACATTTTAATTAAAATCATATAATACAAAATTTGTAACATAAAATAATAAAATTGAAGATTATAATTATTAATATTTATAATGATTGAATTATCATTTTTTGTTTTTTAAAAATATAATAATTAAATTAAAAACAAAATAAAACTTCAAAATAGATAATTTCATTCAAAAATTTTAATTTATGTGAAACTAATAAAAAATTTAAATTCATATAAAATATATAAGAAGTTGGTTGTACAACACATAAAAATTAACAATTTTAAATAAATAAATAAAAAAAGTACCGGGGTATTTTGGTCTCGAAATGCAGATATTTTTTTACATCCTCCAAGTTTATGATCTTGAAATTCTTCCACAAAATGAAATCCTATATGGCATAAACCACAAACCAACACGTCTACATTGGTAAGCTCTTGCTTAACAGCTATAAAAAAAAAAAAAAAAATTAATATAAATTAAATATTGTTAAAATGAAATAATTTACCACTTCCATCAGTTTCTACTTCATCGATTTTTGTAACTAGTGCTTCATCTACTTCAGTACTCATTATTGCTGAATGTAATTTCACATAGAAACCAAAATGCTATGCAATTTAAAAGGAATTACATTAAAATTGAATATATATCATAAATAAAAACATTTTAGTATTTAAAAGTTACTTTTATTTATACATATTAATAAGTTAAAAATTTAAATAATTTAAAAATTCAATGTTATTATTAATATAGTTACAAAATTGTTCTTAAAATAAGATAACTTTTTTAATAGTACTATTTGAGACACTAAAAACTTGATTAAATAATACATTTACCAGAATTGCTGGGTATCTTTGTTACAATTTTACCTAGTATCTATTTGTAGTTTAATTATTCATGAAAACATACACACTGAATATTTAAACTACTGTTACTACTACAGAAGAATTGTATTAAAGGTTTGCATATTATCAAACATAGAAATAACTTAAAATTTAAAAACCAACAAACATCAACAACAAAACAGAATATTTTATAACTATAGATTATACTAAAATTCAAAATTAATATAAACAGAATTTTAAATTTAAGTGATAAGATTAAAATAAATAAACGAACTATAAATTAATTTTCCAAAGTCACATTTAATTGTGGAATGACTATAATTTATTTATTAAACAATACATCACATAAAAGAAAAATCTAGAATTTTTTTGTATCATAATATAATATGTTAACTAGAAGATCTCAAAATCAACACCAGACAATATCTTTAACTAATTTTCAGCTGAAATTACGATTTTGAGTATTTATTAGAGAGCGTACAACACAGGAACATAAATAACAGATGGTAAACGATATGAGCAGATGACCGGTTGTCATTATATATTAATTACCTGTTAGAGATTACCGTTTTTCGTTTTGGTTTCCAAAGCGGCGGCGGAAGACGGTAGAGCGGGCTTTAATGTCTATGGATAAATGGCGCCATATTTTTACAACGGCTCTGGAGACTGGTGGTCGAGTTGCTGGGTGAAAAACGTTAAGCGACAACGGACGTTAGTAGTATCCGAATACAAGTTTTGAAATTCGCGCAAAAACACTGTTATCAAAAAAAGCTCGGAAGCTCGGGGGGGGAGAAAAAAAATCAACAAGAACGTCGAAGACTAGGTATCAACAAATTTTATAACCTAAATTTAATCGGAAATCTAAGAAATCCGAATAGAGAACGGGCCCGCGGATGAGAGAGAAAAGCGCGCACTCACGGCAAACGAGACACACGCACGCACGGACATAAGCAACACGCACGCACACACACACAATATCGCGTCCTTTTTTTTTTTTTATATATACACGTTATTATTTACTTGAAATATTTTCCCGGCCACTAAATAGCCGCCGCCGCCGCCGATTGACCAACTATCGTAAAACGGTACGCTCTGTGTTTAAGTTGGTGCCTACTTGTTCGTGGCGGGTAGCGCCCGAGAGGGATGATAAAATATTCCCAGAGATTGACGTGAATAAAAAATTGTCGATCGGCGGCGCTAACGTGCCAATCGATTTTTTGTACTTACTTAACTCGTGCGGGACGCAATTTTCGCAGATAAAAATTTATTCAAAATTCGTGTTGATACGAAACCGACGTCAAAATGGAGGACGAGGCGGTTGCGGTCGTTGTACATAGGTAGCGCCCGCGAGCGGAATGTTGTTCGCGCCGACTGACAAGCCCTCATTGGACTGCCGTGGTCACGTGACCGCTGCATCGATTCCTGGTCGTCGCCGTTTCGTAACGGACCCGCCGTCGCATACGCACGCACACCCTCACGTACATCACACACACGCACACACACATACACTCTAACACAAACGTACCAAACATCATGTCGGCGGCGTATACTATGCAGTATGCCGCGCATTAACGCTCACGCACGCGCACAAGCAAACAATGCACATGCGTTACTCCTCCCGCGACGCTTACCGCCGCCGTTTTGCTCTGTCGCCTTTGTCAATTATTGTCGTCGAGGTCCGCGTTTTATATTTTTACAATAAATTTTTTTTGCGCTCGTACCCACATGCCTACTATATAGTATATGGCACAACTGCTATAACAATAATAATTAGTAATTAGTAATTACTGATTACCGTGCGGCATACCATTATGCCATTATCATTATCGTTCGTCTGTTTTGTTTAAAAAAAAAATTTATCACAATAATAAAAAACGAATCGAAGTATACATTATTAGAATTACATTTCATTATCGTTTACACTTTGCCCAAGTATGCATCACACCCTAAAAAAAAAAATATTGATACACGATTGCTTACAAGTTGTAATTTTATGGATTACCTACTTATTATACCTGCAGCACACCTATAATAGTGTTTTTACTTTGCGTATTGTATCAATTCTTGTACTATCAGACCTGATCGTTTTTACAAAATTCACGACCTTTTAAACTGTACACGAACGCATTTATAATTATACATGACCCGTCATGTCGGCACTACATTTAGTTCAGAATGCGGTAGGGAACTATTTCTCGATGTTATAATAATGTTATTACACGACGTTGCTACTTGTTGATTTCTGTTTTATTTACTTACTATTTTACCATTCATATCCTCCTCAAATCGTAATAATTACAACTGCGGTTAACTCTTATAGTGCCTAATATGCCAGATAATTTTGTGTACCGATAATAATTCATAAAAAAAATTACCACTTGTTCATCATTGAAATTATTAATCATCAATAGTTAATTCTGCATTCATATTCTCTACACTTATTATTCAAGAAAATAATTAACGTACCTACTTAAATTATATTAATTTTTGTCTAGAATAATTAGTAATTGTTTAGGACTTGACAATTTATTAATAAGTAAAAGTATATAGGTACCAATTCATTCGCAGTACATATACCTATATTAAAACTTGTAGTTAACATACATGAAAGAAATTAATTTAAATTGATTCATTGAAACCAGCCTTGACTGCCTACTCTTAGTTCTCTTAAAACCGACTATATTCCATAATTACAACTGATTTTCATTGATCACATTTAAACATTTTAATAACTATTAATCGAATATAAAATAAATAAAGCATACAATATTATGATGATTAAATTATATGAAAACAAAATACATTATTTTTAAATAATTAATTAATTTAAAAAAAAAAACTGATTATACATAAATATTAATATAAAATAACAGCTATGAAATAGTTTATTTATTTTAGGCTTTGTAGTATTAAGAATAATTTTATGGTGTCTATTATTAAGCAAATTGACTATTTTAAAAAGCATACAAATCTGTACATGTTAAATTATACTTTAAAAAATAAAATGTTAATTATATCAATTTATAAAATTTATACTCTGATATAAACTTTATTTAGAAAATATTAAACTAAATTTAGTTTTAAGATTAAACTTCAGATTGCTTCAACTTTTCTGCCACAGCTTCCACTCGTGTGCATAAAGATTTCAAATTAGAATTCATTTTAACCATGTTTTGATTAATGTGAGATTCTATAGTTTTAAGAAACTCTTCGTTTTTTTCAATATTTTGAGCATTTTCTGTATGCTGAGCACTCAGGTTGCTAATTGTCATCACTAATTTTCCAACTGAAATAAAACATGATTTTATAAATATGTTTAAAAAATTGGGTAGTAAAATATTGGTCTATTTACATTAAGATCACAATTAAATATTTTTTAATTAAATAATTTCAGTGCTTCAAATAAACATTGCAATATAATCACCTTTTTGATGCAATGATTCTAATGCTACCATTCTTTGTAAAACTTCTGGTAATAAATGTGATTCTTGAGTTGCTTTTAAAATTATTTCATAAAGTTCATTAATTTTTTTATCTTTTTCAGGATCTTGAGAATCTAGTTTTGCAGCTGTTTGTTCAAGTTTGGGTAGTAAATTCGAGACTCTAGTATCTACTGCATCTAATTGAGTTGAATTAAGAACAGATAGCTGCCCTAATAATAATCGAACAGCCTCAATCAAACCACCACTCTCACAAACGCCTAAACGTTTCTGCAAAAATTTTTAATTAGAATCAGAAATTATCAATAGAACTGCTTAATAATTAAAATAATTATTTTTTTTTTGTATAAGCTATAATTGTCAACCATAAATTTAATTAAATATTTATTGTTAGCTTCAAATAACTTACAATTGATAAGCAATTAACACTCACTAGTCGGTAGTTAATTTAAATAAAAATTGCAAAAAAAACATTACAATTAAGTGACATGTTTTCTTTAGTTTTAGTTATTATAGATGTTATTTATAAAAGATAAAAAATATACGTAGAACTTCAACCACATGAAATGAGATTGACTCTTTAACTATTTTAACCAAAATAAACAATTTTCTTACAAGTGTTAAAGCACCAGTCCCAATTGTCGCTTCCAATTTACGCAAACGTTCTTCCAATCGAGAAATTTGAGAAACTTGATCAAGTTGTGCTCTGTTAGGTCTTATTAGCGCTTGGAAATTTAATGCCTCAGAAACAGTTTCTGTAGCAACTTGCGGTTTATCACTGCTTTCTGGACGTTTATTTAACAATTCAGTAATAGTTTCTACATACTTTCTAAAAGACATATTTAAACATAATTATTAATTAATAATAATGATCAAAGTAAAAAATTATTTATTGAAATGAGTATTAATGGTTAATATTGGAATTATTTTTCTAAAATGTAGTATACTTTTATATGTAATTATAAAAATAAATATTCTAAGTTTCATTGACATTTTTTTAGATACAAAAATCTTATAAATGGAGTTAACATTTTTAAAGACTTATTTTAATTTTAAATTTTTTTACACTTCTTCAATTTGCAAAAAAATTAATTTTCAAACAAAAACAATAATTTTAAATGTCAAACAATATTAATTTTAAGTTGATAAAATTAATGATTAATTTTGTCATTCTGTTTTCATTATGCTCTGTTATTATATTCCTCTACTGTAATTTACAATTTACTTTATTCTGTTTTTTCCTTTAATAAATTACCATAAATAATAATTTAAAAAAAACCCAATTATATTTTAAATGTTTTCTAGAGTTATACCTAAATAATAAAAAAAATTTCATTTTACTAGTAAGATTTTAGAAATAAGATAAAACAAGTTATTATTATTTTTAATGATATGTACAGCAATAAGAGTCTACAATTTAAATTATTATTTTTGTAGTGAATTTTGCTATATATTAATTTTAAAAAAAATAATATTAAAAACTGTAGTTTGCAGTGTTTGCATATTATATTATGAAACATTCATGTTTATTCATTGTTTGAGATTATCTGCATTTCTCTTGGTCTCATCTAATGCAGATAAAAGATGTTTCATTGAATTTTAAATTATACTTACTGTAAATTATTAATTTCAGATGTTCCTAATTTTTCTAATTGTTGTTCAAAAGACTTTTCTATATTTAATGTAGTCAGTTTCAGCATTACATCTTGTACTTGAGACCCTATATTAGTGCATGATTCCTCATCAAGATCGTTTTTATTTTCCTAAAAAAACAAAAAAAAATCTTATTAGTTATTTTCAGATCTATACATAGTAAAATAATAAGCAAAACTAAAAAATTTTTTACCATTAATCACGCAATTACCTACATTTTTTTTTTTAATATGAACACAGTTTTGGTTTAGTTTGGTTATATGATTTATATATATATATATTAATATTTTTTAGTAGAGAATTAGAGAATATATGGTCAGATTATGGAATCTTTATTTAGTGAGTTAATATCAATGGTACACTAAAATCTTTAAGAAAAAGATTTAGTAAGCTTCTTTTTTTAATATGAAATAATATATAGATGTAATTTATCAAGACATATTATGTTTGGAGGTTATTTGTTTTACATCGAATAAACAATAAACAATAACTTATTAATTTTGTATACTATGTTCAATAAATCAAAATAATAAGTTTAATATTTTAATTAACATAGATCTCATACTGATATTTGGACCATTACATTTAACACTTTTGTTTTTAGTATTTTTACTATTATTTTAAACAGCTGATAACAAAACCATAATTTATTAAGGTAAATATAATTATAATAAAAATAATATGATAAATAATTTTATGAACTTCTTAACCATGTGTAAAATGAAATATAATTAAGTAATATATTATATAATTAATGATAGTATAAAATAGAATTAACCTGCAAAGAACTTATTTCTTGAACTAATTCTTCAGTTTCCAACTTTAATCTATAATACTTTTGTAATGGCGTTTCTTTTTCTCCTTGTGCAGCTAATTCCCAAAGTTGACTTTAAATATTTAAAAAAATTGTATTAAATTAAAAGTATAGAGATTAATTAAACTAATAAATACTTACTTTGAATTATATCCTGTTTTTAATGATCTGCCTAATTTATCAGAAAAGTCTATATTATCTGAGTTGACAACTTTATCTTTAAAGTGTTTATAAGCTTCGGTTGGAACCAATTTAATACGTTCAATATCTTCGTTGTCCTTTATTAAATATTAAAGTTATATTAATTAACATGTTGTAATATTAGACTTAAGATTTGAATATATTTGTATATTATTTCTGGTTAATTTTACATGTTTTAATGGGTATTTTTAGACATACTCTTTAAGTCATCTTTTATGTAATTTAAATATTTTTACCCGTAAACATAATTAAAAGACCAATATTTCCTGACATTCATAATATTGTGTAATTTTGCTTATATTTAGAGGTTTTAAAAGGGTTCTTTTCCAAGAAAAATACTTTTTACTTGTATCAAATAAATAATTAAAAAATATAAAAATCATTAAAAATGTACAATAACAGAAAATCTGACTTAAGTTTCTGTCTTTCAATTCACATTCTTATAAATAACAGTATAACATATTAAATCTTACCTCTTCTGCATAATCAAGTTGTTGGTCATCTTCTGGCAATTCAAAAGTTTCATAGACATCAGGTTGGTCATAAGCCTTAAAATAAATAAATAATTTATTGTTTTATCTTGATATTAAAATAGTAATATTAGCGTAGGGAATAGAAAATGTTTGATCATAAATTGTATTTAAACTGTGCACTGATAGTTGTTTCAAGATGTATAATGTAACTTGAAATATTTTAGGTTTTAGTATACATTAAAATCACTCTAATTCTGTATAAAATATTTGAGATATAGCAAGTAATACTCATTAGACATATTTTGTTTTACGTTTAAAACATAAGAAGTAGGTAGCGTCATTTTAAAAATTTAATTTTCATCCAAATATTTATGTTTTTTATTATCTTCACAGATAATAGAATACATATCTAGAGTATTATAATATTGTGAACTGAGGATACAGGAAAATTAAAAATCTATACTTACAATTCCACTTAAATGAGCATATTTTGAATCAACTGCCATCTTTATAAAGTTTATGAAATTATTTAATAGTGACTATCTATTAAATTAGTAGTGACACGTACTACTTAAAACCAAAGTATGTGATACATAGATATAAGGTACTAATAGTTTTATCCATACATTCAATTTTTCAATACACAAGACTTACAATTACAAAGTATCGTAGATGTTATAGATAATGGAATAAGTGTTTTCATTATCTATATCTGTGCAAGGCGTATTGATATCAGTGATATCAATATTCAGGATCAACACACTTTAGGGGCACATTTAAAAAAACGCGCGGGCACAATCTGATATAGATTGCCTCAACGAGCGCTGATCAAGAGCGTACGCAGAAAAACAGTTTTGGAGCGTGTTTTTAAAATTAGTTATTGAAAAGCAAAACTTTTTTTTAATAAATAAAGAAATTACACAATAGGTATAATAGGAAATATGCCAATATAATAACCCGTGTACATCTCTAGCGCTAATTACTGTCTTTTGAAAATGAGCTAAACTCTATTAATTACCTATATTCTATGATACCGAGTGACGTGACATGAAAGTATAAAATTTAAGTAGTATTTCTTAAATAATAAACGAGTATGTATACACCTAAAGTCCTAAAGTATACTGGGTGACAGACATATAGGTACATTGATATGATGTGGAGGTCAGATCCTTCTAGTGTTTTTTACTTTTTAATAATAAGTTCTATAAGAAGTAAGAACGTAAAAAAAAAATGCATACAATATAGCGTTCTAAATGATGGTATAAAAAATAATCACAACAGACTATAGTTACATTTTTTATCTCCAGGCCTAAGGAAACTTGTCTAGTGTTTACGACCATTTGTATAAGTCTTACAGAAACGTTAAATAAATTCTTAAAACTTATTAAACAATATATAAATAAAATATATGTTTGGTCATAATTCCAAAAGAAGGTGCAGGGGTGTCAATAAAATGTCATTTAGAAAAAACTTAAAAATATTATATTACTATTCACATTTATAAGCTAAATATAGTTATTTCATTATGTAACATACGTAATAAATATTTTTCATATTATATGTAAAATATAAATACATAATATATGTATTTGGAAATCGTAAATTGTAATATAACAATTTGATTCAGTATTTATTGGTAGTTTAAGATTTAAGTATTTTAAATTTAATTTATTTCTAAAATATAGATAATAGAAGTAATAGAAATAATCATTGATTAGATATACAGTAAAACGCAATAATTACTAAATCATGTAATGATTAGTATTTAGTTAATATTGCGATAAAATATTAGTAATTTGTGTAAAGTGTAAAAATTTAAAATACCATCACTGTGGTCTGTCAGTCTATGAGAATATTGCAATAACAATATGATATTATGATAGTTAAATAACTATTGCTATCCTCTGACTTCTGTCAGTTAGTCACAACTTTTAATTCACAAGTTAGTAGTTACAATATCGTGATAAAGATTTACCACTGTCAAACACAAAGATAGTCAGATGTATGAAATAATTTATTTCATAACATTTGATTTTGGGAATTGAGTCGCCCAAAATTATTTTGAAATAAATTAATGACTGTTGTTAGGGGAATTATAAGCAGCGCCGGATTGAGAAGAAATTACTTACCGGGCTGTCCACCTAGACCGGCCCAAGTTCCTAAACAATTTTTTTCTTAACCTATCAAATTTTATTAGTATATAACAAGATTTAATTTATAGACCCTTAATGTAAATACAAGCACTACTATTTCTTTCTCTAATTTTAAATCAAACATTTAAACACTAGGTATTATGTTTTTTTATTAGTTTATAGCTGTCATTATATCAAGATAACGATTTTTATCATAGATTACATATTTACATTTTAGAATCACATTTTTGTCTTTTGATGTAAAATAAACTATGGATAAGATATTTCCATTTTCCATTGATTCAAAATATCATCAAACCGGCCCAAATCTTTCGGATTTCTAATGGCCCACCGGGGTTTTCCCGGTAGCCCGTCGGCTCAATCCGGGCCTGATTATAAGTACCTACCTTAAACGCCTAGAAATAAATTCTATGTAAGCTAGAATGTTTGTGTCTACATATAATATTTTATTATTTATAGGACCACTGATTCTTTTCCATGTAAAACTGATGTATCTATACTATAATATAGTACCTATACATCACTGCAGGACTTTCGTGGTTGATCTGTTTCTAAGATTTGTTACACACGTTTTCACAGAGGATCAACTGCGCCACAAAATAGAAACAATTATACAGAATTATAAAAAATTAAATGGTTAACCTAGATTTAAATTAGGTTAAGACTATGAACCTAAGTTTATTATATAGGTAACTATATTCAAAGCCCCTACAAGGGGGATGGTTAGATCTTGGACATAGTATACAGAGGCCCGTTGAAATGAATTTATAATTTTTGAAATTTAGAAATATTTATTTCACTTAACATTTTTTACGATACATGTCATTTTGATATTTTAATCTATGAATAAGTATATATTATTCATATTAATATTTGATCAGGGGCTCAAATTTTGACGTAGCGGATCTGCCTAGTGCCTGTGCCATAATCATAAACATAGAGCATACTCGGCATATTATATGGTATAAGACTATAGTGTTATTAATTATTATAATAGAGACTTCATTATGTACAATGGTCAATAAAATGTGACAATTTTAACACTACGTCACTATTATCTATACCACAGCTATTATCAGTATTATCTACTTTTCTTTGTTACACATTTTTGGTTCTAAATAAAATGTTTGATAATAAATAATTGAATTATTATACATACATCTATATATAATTAGTATAAATTATACAAATAAAAAAGTCAGTTTAGTTTCCGTCGAAATTTTTTTCTCATTTAGCTTCTTGCTAATAATTAAGTAAGAACATTTTGTCTATGATAGGTATAGGTTTGTATATAACATGGAATATAGATTGTGGTTACAAATCCTCCTGCACTGTTAAGTGATAACAAAATTCAATTCGTAATTCGTATTTCATTATCATTACCTGTCCTATTATTAATAAATAATAATTATTATAATATTATTGACTATTGTACATTTTGGGTTTGAAGTGTTTGAACATAGTATTTAGAAGTTTAAAACATTTTGTTCATTTTAGATTTTTAATTAGGTTTTTCTTTTTTAATTTAAAAGTAAATTTTGCGTTGTTTGGTTTGTGATAAATTTTATACTTTTTTATATTCATACAACATAACTTATTCCAATATGGAAAATACAAATTTGGAAATGGAAGTAGACGAACCTCAAAACAATGTTTTAGCCACAAATGTTACGGGCAGTGTATCTATATCTTTACATCCACTAGTCATTCTTAATATATCTGAACACTGGACTCGTTTAACAGCTCAAGTTGGAAATTCAGTTCCTTCAATTGGAGCCTTGATTGGTAAACAAAAGGATCGAACTCTGGAAATAATGAACTCGTTTGAATTGTCATACTCTGTGCTTGAAGATAATGATACAATGATTATTGATAGAGATTACTACAACTCTAAAGAAGAACAGTTCAAGCAGGTAAGATAAATATTACTATTATAGATTAACAATTGGGTCCTTATTTAATTTTATATATATTGAAATAGGTATTTTGTGACTTGGACTTTCTTGGTTGGTATATAACTGGTACTGCTTCTGATAAACCGACAATACAAGATATTGATGTGCATAAGCAAATCATAAATATTGCTGAGAGTCCCATATTTTTAAAAATGGATCCTCATGGTGGACATACTGACCTACCAGTCAAAGTATATGAATCAATTATTGATATAATGAATGGAGTACCAAAAATGTTGTTTGTTGAATTAACATACACCTTATCTACTGAAGACGCAGAACGTATTGGTGTTGATCATGTTGCACGAATGTCAAGTAATGATGCACAAGAAAATAGTTTGGTTGCTGAAACATTAACTGTTCAGTTTAATGCCATTAAGATGCTCCATAGTAGAGTTAAAATGTTGCTACAGTATTTGAAAGAAGTTAAGAACAGTGATCAATCAGTAAACAATGAGTTATTGAGGTGAATAATTTAAATTTAATTTAGAACTTAAGTAAATTTAATAATTATTTATTATTAGCACCTATACTCTGTCCAGCAAAAGAGTTATACTTGCCAAGGTATTATTTGGGGATGTCCAGAAGAACCAATTGTTGTTGAATCACAACATGTTCTCTTACTAGACAAAGAATAAATATTTTTTTTATTTTTCATCAACTATCAATTCATATTCATTATTTTTCAAAAATCTATCTACTTAATCTTTTTAATTAAGAATATTCTGTGTAGGTACTAAATATAGAAGAGAGGAATTATTTTTGAAATCTAATGAATCTAATAGAAAATAAATAAATAAATAATAAATCTAATCCCATGAATAACTTTTAAAAGGTTAGTGTTAGACTTTAAAAATTTGTTGCAATAGGGATTATTGATATTATAACTAATCAAATTATCATGCAAATTAATTAGGTATATATTTATATTTAGTAATTACAGTTTGACTTGTATCAAGGTACTGAGTCTAATATGAGTAAATTATGTTCTCAAATAATCGGTAAATGTAACTTATGAATACCTAATTTTAAATAAATATGTATCAATACAATTAAATATATATAACGGACCTAAATAATTTGTATATTATATATATATTTTAAATTTATGGACAATTTCCTCTGTTATTTATGTTACAATTTAAATAATTAATGATATATGGTTAAGAATATATCATATTTTTTGATTATCAGTTTAAAATTAGAATATAATGGTTTATTCACCAACAATTTTCCTAGTATTATATATTGGAATATAATACTCAAGACTATTCGATTTATGTTTATAAATTAATATTATAAACTATAAAATACCATAAAAATCTTTAAATAATAATTCAGTTTCACTTTTAATCTGAATCTGATTTTCTTCCATTGCTTAATTTGTTTTTCATTCTATTATGTTTAAATGGAATAAAATTAAAATTACGTAGATATAAATAATATATTCTATAATATAATACTTTGATAACTACATAATATTTCATCAGTCCACCACACTTAATAATATCTTTAATTTAAGAACTTTTCTGATATAAAAAGTTATTAATTCTACCATTCTTTTGTTCAAGACAG